GAAGTAACATAAGAGTTTCAATTAATAATTCATTATTGTTTGAATACCACTTAAATTAATACTTAAATATTTCCTATTTGTGTATTTGTGCATAAATCTATCAAGGCAAAGGTTAGGCAAAAATATAAAGATTGCATTGTAGGTAATTAAGTATTAACATAAGGATGAGATTGTGTTGTTATTTTTATGCATTATTTGACCTTTTCCTCAATCAGTTAAATAAAATTATATGTAATTTATACTTTAAAAATGTATATATAGCATCTGCAATCTTAATACGTATCATATATAAATTATGATAGGTTAATAAGTTGGCAGGATGTAACCCACATATAGATCTAGAGTTCCTTAGCCATATTATATAGAACTATACCTGTATATTGATTTGTAACAACATTTATGTTTAAGGCGTCTTGCAAGTTTTATTTCAGCTCCATATTATGTAGATTGCCTGCACTTTTGACATTTTCTAGCATAAATGCTATTAGAACGTTTTAGTTTACGCGTGCTTATTGTTTATTTACATCGATTTTAAATTGTATCTCTGTGATAAAATGATATTAAATAATAAAAATTTTCGTTTATTATCAACGTAGTACGACATATGGTGACGAAACACTACATCTAGCGACTGTAAAAGGTTGGTCCAATGAGTTCAAGCGTTTTCGTCAAGCGTTACTTCCAAGACGAATTTCGTGAGCAATTTTTTCACGGACGGTGCAAATCAAAGCAAATGGTCGCATATTTTTTCAGAAAAATCGATTATGTCGCAACTTTACTACTTGAACAACGTAGAACGATCAGTTCTGCATGGTACATAACCATTTGTTTGCTAGAAGTCTTTGGAGAATTAAGGAGAACTAATCGTCAAAGAAAGATCATTTTCGACTACGACAATATGAGCTCCCAAATATTAGGTCAAACAAAAGAATTTTTGAGGACTCAAAACGTTGAATTGATGGGTTATCCGCATTACAGTCCCGACTTGGCATCCAACAACTTTTTATTTTTCCCAAACATCAAGAAAAAAATGCATATTGTTCGTTTTTCTAGGCTCGAACAAACCGTTGAGACATTCAAAACCCTGGCTTCAGATGCCAATAATACAACCATTTTCACCGATTAGTTACTGTGTTGTTAGGCGTAAGACTTGAAAGGCAACCCTCGTATTATTGTAAACATAATAAAAGTTTGTATAATTTCGGTTGTCTTATAAACAAAACAACATCATTTTACATTACAATAGTAACAAAACAGGTTACGTGTTTCAAAAATCAATAATAAATATATAAGTTTTGATAGAAAATTATAAAAAATAATAAAAGAATTAAGTAAAAAACTCAAGTAAATAATAATAATATTAAACACTGATAAATTTTCAACGATTTGCTTCCTGTACAATACTTTTTATATTAAAAATTTATAATTCTTAAAGACATATGATTTCAGTAAGATTTTATTTAATAGTAATAGCAGTAGTAATAGTAGTAATAGATTTTATTAGATAAATATTACTTAGTTGAAGCAGTAAAAGTTTAGGTTATGTTTATACATGATACAATAAACAACCTGTTATTTACTCTCATGAAATCAGATGTGTAGTAAATATAGGAAACATTTTAAATATCCTATAATAAAATATTATTAAAATAAATTATAATAAAATAATATTAAAATAGATATTAAAAATGTGATTATTATAAAATAGACGTAATAACCCAATTAACCCAGCCGCGATAGATCTAACTAAATTTTCTAACGAAGGTGATAATAATTTCGTGAGAATAACGATAACTATTCAATTTGTATCAAATTTGAGATACTTTTTGAATACTTTAATATAGCTATCATATTTAAAATAGTTATTACGTAAGGAAACATATTTAAAATATTCGTGAGTTAGTTCGAAAACTGTTCCTACTACTCTAGTACTGAGTTCTAGTACTCAATATTTCGCTAAATTTTTAGTAAGATGGGGTCAGGTGAAAAATATTTTTTAGTTAAAAAAACTATTGTGTCAATTTTTTAATCGAATACTTTAATCGAATACAAATGACAGTAATTGTATAATGGAGTTAAGTGATGAAAAAAAAACAAAAAATATGTTGTTTATTAAAGTATTATTAAAATGTCACATTGTGTATGAATTGCCCTACTCAATTCATAACTCAAACCAATTATTAAGTAAAATTCTATAAAGAGGTTTTTTTCGAACAGTAGTGAAATACAACAACAAAAATTTTATTTTTAATATTATTTTAATTAATTGATTTTTTGGCTGACCATACAGCTGTTTCGAGGATTACCAAATACCCATCATACTATACTATAGTCATTCTATACTATAATTAAGTGTGCAGACAGTGCTCAACTTAGCTTAAAAAAGCAAAAGTTAAATACCAGCTTACAGCACCAAAAAAAAAAGGAAAAAAAAAAGTGCTACATGGTATATGAAAAAATTTCTGTAGAAAACCATTTGGAAAGGTTAAATGCATGTGTATCATGCCTTGTATACATTATTTAAAATAGTCGTACATCTCAAATCACAAACAAAGGAGCATTTTTGACATATTTTAATTGTATACAGTAGTAACAATGATAATATAATAACAAAAATAATTTCTCAGAAATAATTCAGAAAGGTAACATAAATAGTTAAAACAACATATTTTAACAGCAGTAGATAGTGTTAAATACATTTTTTCCAGTAAAAAGGTTAATAAATTTTTTTAAAAATATAAATAGTACCGTATGCATAAATATTTTAATTATTGTGCTACAAAATATTTATCAAAAAAATTTTTCCTCATCCCAAAGCTGAAAAAGAAGAGAAGCAAGTGGACTTAATTCCCAAGACGCACCCGAACTTTCATTTTCAATTTCAACACATCCAATGATATTCAAACAATCTATACTCATAGTAACCAACAACAATAACAACAACAACAAATATTGTAAATTGGAGAAATAATAGCAAATAGAAAATGCATTTTGCTGCAATTACTTACAGTAAGCCTTTGTTGTATCTCAAAGCCGCTATATTATAACTCATATAAAAATAAAAAATATAAACAAAAACAAAGAAGTGCTTAATCATACACTCACTCTCTCGCATCCAGCACAGCACACACACATCAGCGGCAGATGAAATTGCACCCGTAAATCCCTCTAGCATGCGTAAATGTTGATGAAAATCAATTTTTTATAAGAAAAATGTTTTTTGTCATTTGTTGTTTAAATGCAGCAATTGTTGCTGTTGTTGATTTCCATTTACCGTCAAATGCTGCACACATTCACTTTCATTTAATTAAGGTTGAAATATGAAGATTCGTATGAACAAATTTAAGTTGCAGCCGAAGTGCACGTGCCCATACATCACAGCTCTTAAGTAATTATTGGTGGGAACTTAGTGGGCCAAAAACGAAAATATTTGAAATGAAATTTTTTAAAATTCAAAAATTTTTTAAACTTTTGTCTTGCACATTCTTGGTAGTAAATAATAAGTATTTGAGGTGAGTCAAATTTAATGCAATTAATATGCAAGTCGTATTCTGTTTTCTGTAATTGTGACTGCGTGTATTAATTTTATTAATTTTTTGATTACTCAATTCCTAATTGAGTTTCGTGGTTTTTCATTTTTGGTTAACAAATTTGTATTTTTGTGTTTTGTTTGTTATTGCAAAAATATAATTTGGAATGAAATTTCGAGGCCCCAGATAATTTCGCAAATAACACGTTGCCGAAAATGATGATGAATTTTTGCGAATTCAAGAAATGTGACAAGAAATTTAATAAATTTTAAAGGGAAAATATACACTTTTTTATGATTATTAAAAATAAAAATATTAAAATTTTGCTACTAATGAGTGTTTATTTTGTTAAAAACATACAAATTGTTGTAGAGAAATATTTATATAAATTGTAATTTATAAATGTTATTAGTATTTTTATTTGCTTAAGTGTTTCCAATCATATAAAAATTAAATTAAAATAATCTTTATTTCATACAACCCATAGAAGTTTTTAGAATTTTGCAGCAAAAAAAAAACAAAATGTTTGTAAATAATAAATTTATTCAGATTTACTTCGAATTCGAACTACTGCTCGGAGTCGATAGGGAACCTATTCACACTGTGCACTTAAGTAAACCTGTGGTATCTTCTTAAATTCAATTTACTCTGGTATTTTTTAAGTGCTGACCTTTGCAGTCGAAATGAAGTTCCCAAACATTATCTCTAAGCTTTTGCTAGTTAACTCTACTTTTATGTATAGAATTTTATTGCAATATCCACTTTCTCCCGTTGATGTGTTTGTTTCTTAGCACTTTCCAAATTTTTATGCCACAAACCACAGAACAGCCACAGAGAGTAATCTTCGACAGTTACGGTTGCTTAAATCGTAACAAATGGTGGTGCTTTAGTTTTTGTAACCTTCCGAGTGCACTATTTTTTATATATTATCTCTGTTAAATAAACTTGATAACTATGTTTGTTTACTAATCGTGCGAAATATTGCTCATTAAGGAAGACAGTATTTGGTAATTCGTCAAGTTCGTTCATATTCAACATCTGCTTTACATTATCGGGAATAGTCCTTTTATGAATGCTGTCTGATGTGTAATTAATGAGGTTTTATTTTGAGGTCGTTTTGGAATATTCCTTGAATGGTAGATTTTTATCTTCCACTGCGGCGTTGTCCCATTAAATTCAAGGCTATGCTCTCTGAACCACTACTGCCCCAAATTCACTTTTTTTACAGTTTCGTTATAAAGTGAAAAGTTCGAATGTTTAGTAATAGCCACTTGTGGTTCTCCACTTAAGTATCACATGAAGCACACTATCACATTATAACGTTTAAATTCAATCATGGACAAAACTTTTCCTAAAAAATTAAAGAAGTTATAGCAAGTTAAAATTGGTTGGAGTTTAATTGAGCCACTTTATACATTTGAAATTATTATTATGATCAACTAACATATTCCTGTTTTCTTTCTTTTCCAGGTAAGCACATCACTACATCAAAAGCGCTTAAATTTTCCAATTAGCTTAGTAAGTAAAAACATTATTACCTTCGAGCTTCAAATATAGTGCATGATACATTTTTTAGTTTTATGACCAAGAGCAATAAAATAAGAATACATTATACCAGAAATTGTGCACTTGACCTGTAAAGTCGAAAACAGAAAAAGTGACAAAGCCATTGACCCGAATTTGTCGGAAGGTGCCAAATATTGTAAAAGAAAATAATTTTTTTTTATTGTGACAAATAATAAAAAATCAACAAATTTTCTGAAAATTATAACAAACATTTTCTCACAAATGTGAATAACAAATGCAACTAATAAAACATCACAAACAACAATAATAACAACAACAACAACATGTAAACAATGACATACAAAGGAAACAATATTAAGAGCAACACTTAGCACCACTTAGAGTAAAGCAAAAAGTCTTAGAAAAGTGGAGAAAGTCCATTTGTGTGGAGACAAAAATTACAAATGTCAAAACAGAGATGTTTCAAGAGATGTCAATGATTTTCTTGTCACAATAAAGCAAATTTATGCAGATGAATGCCGCAAACACTCTATTTAAATATACAATACTCCTATATAATGCACATACGGACACAATAATGTATGCGCTATAAAAGTTTTATTTACACATAAAATAGTAAAAGAAATATTTATACAAAAATTAGTTATAAACAATGGCTGGGATGTGAAATAAAAATGTCAAATGCAATAGTTTTTCTGTGTTGGATAAAGCAATAAAAACAATTTGCTTTAAAAGTAAAATTTTCTTTGTAAAAAAAAAGTTTAAAAAGCATTTCTATATATTTATGAATTAAAAAATTTTTAGAAACTATTACTGATAATTTAATATTAATATTTTAATATTAATAATTAAAATCTTAATAATTAAAATATTATTAATATTAATTAATATTAATAATTTTTTATTTATATGATTATTTTAAAGAGGAAGAAGCATAAAAGAAAATAAGAGTGAGGATATTTTTTGCTTATATATTTATTTCTTAATTTGCTATAAATTATATAAAAATCAATTTTTTGCTTAGTTTTGCTTATTTATTATTAAATAAAACATTACAACGATATCATAGATGCGTTGATGGGCCACAATCTGTTAGCCACATTGTTGAACTGAATGAATTCTAAAAAATAATTTTTCTTTAAATAAAAATAAATTTATATAATTTATGATAAAATCTCATAGAGGACCATCTTTTTAATACTAGGTAATACTTGTATAGTTAATATTTGTATAAATAATTTCTTTTTATATGCGAGAATGAAATCATCAATAGTGACAAATGCAATAACTGCAGAGAGCTAGGGAAAATTGAGACTTTGAAACATTTCTTATATTTATATTCTATGTGGTCACGAACACGCTTAAACTGCTCCTAACTATACAATTTACGAAATTTTGGAATGTCTTAGAAATGGAGTTTCAAGTACTCCTTAGATTTTAAAAAAGCGTCGACATATTGCATGATATTTACTACAAATTTAAATATATAGGAACAGGAATAAACGGTGTACCAGCTTTCAACGGAGCGGAACACTGTGCAACAGATCCTAACCGAAAAGAAGACATTCCGCCTTTCGAATGAAAGCCAGAATGTCGGCCGTTCAGGACCTCCCAATGTAAAAAGGGGAGAGTAGTTCTCAAACCAGTGATTTCCTCCTGGCCCAGATCAAGGCTGGGCATTCACAGAGAATGTGACTGGAAGTCTCGTCTGCTTCTAAGTAGAGTCGACAATCTATCTCTTCGGACAGAAATTTAAATAGATAAATTGCTAAGTTTTTTTGTCTTTCTGGTATTTGCAGATGCCTCTTTTAGAAAGTATTTTTATAACTACATTTTCATATAATTATGAAAATACTTACAATTCTCTACAACTGCTTCTTGTTAATTCCTTTTTTGCTATTTTATTTACTTTTTAATTTCTTCAATATCTGTGTTCCGATATTTAATACACAAGAAAATATTTTCGTTTATTAGTGATATCGCGATAAAATTGAATATAGACGGTTTGAAGTTTAACATATGTGTCATTATCTCGCATTCAACCTCATGCCATTAGTTATTAGTAAAGATTTACTCAATACTAGTATCTTCAGTAAACTAAATAAGCATAAATATCTAGACATTATACTAATTAAATAATTATTAACTAATTTATAGTAAGTTAAGGGATTAAAGTTTGGTTTTTCCAGTCAGATTAACCACGAACTTATCAACTCGAATATAAAAATTTATTGCCACATTACCACATTTACCATACGACCACAATTCATTTCTGTTGAAACGGTATTTTATGCAAGTTTACATTAATGCAATATTGTCCAATATGAAAACTTATGTGACAAAATGTCCGTTAGCTTTACAATGGTCCAGCCGTGAATGTGGTCTATTTATTTTGCTGCAATTTAAAAGCGTGTGAAAAATATTTTTTTAAGTATGGCTGTCGAACCTGATATGCAATATATACGAGTATATTTATGTCTCCGTTTTTTTTTGTAAACAAGTTTAACAGTTTGACATTTCGTAACATTTGTGCGGCATGTCACAAAACTAAAAGCGGTACGACACGTGTGTTACGATCATTTTTAGGTTGCTAAATGGTCTGCTTTGTAGTAAGAAATATTTCTAAGCAAACAAATAAATATTAAAATTTCCTTGTGTATACCATACATACCTATATACTTGTTTCAACATTAAATTCATACTTCCTATGCATGTTTATATGTTTATTAACATTAAAATGTGGTGCATAAGCCGCTTATGCAGTTCATTTAAATATTTTATGTTGACAACACTGGTAAAAGGTCATAAAAATCCTCCGTAGCTTAAAAATTTGTGGCAATTGGTACGCCCATCTTCAAGCGAACAGACATGACACACTTGCATGTTACATTTATTTAAATTAGTAATGTTGCTTTTAACTGTCAATTTAGTAACGCTGATCTTGCATTTCTGTTATTTTTACATATATTTCTCTTTGATTAGGGATTGTGTAATATTTTGACAATAGGTTCAACATACCGTCATGTAGGAAGCGAACATAAACCGTGGGAGTTTTGAGCCGTTATGTGAACATATGCGTTACCCATTAAAATGTGTGGTCATAATATGTGACTTTTGTTGCATGCAAATAAGCATATGTAACTTAGCATGGCAGTGAACCATTTTTTACCCTAATCAGCTTTGAAATAAATTGAACTTTGAATGGTTTACTCTTTTTGTATTGTCTTCCAATATAAAGTGGTATTTTACTCTGATTTTAAATAGGCTAAAAATGTGGACCAATTCAATTAAACATAATATGTAAAACTTTTTATAGTCGATATAATTTTTTTTGAAAGTATATAACTTTTTGAATTGTTCAGTGTATCATTTTTTATAAAAGATTAATTTAACATATGTTTCGTATCTTAAACTACATACATAAAGCAATCAAGTATATATTGTAAAGTATAAAGTGTATAGTACTATGCAATATGGTACGATGGGCAAAGGTTGCACAATAGATATTAACATTATCCGAGTCGTAACATACTTTCAGCTCTTCATATGTGAGAAAAAAATTATAGTTTTATCACACAGACATATGCTCTACTGTAAATGTAATCTACTGTAATGGACATATACACTTTTAGAGTAAGTAAGCTTGAATGGTTTAAGTTACCATATATATAATTTAAAAATATTTGTTTCTAAGATCTGGTCAGTATCTGTTAAAAATTTACACGATGAAATCATATACAAGTGTTATTGTCAAAATATACTAAGAAAATATTGCAATTACTATGTTTAGGTTAGGCTATACCGGTGACCCAAGGGATCCACTTAGGCCTATAGGCCCATTGTGTTACCATATAATTAAAAAATCAAGGGTTAGAAGTACTAAGAACCTTTAGCAAAGCTCATAAAGTTATTTAGGGGGAGGTCTTGCACTTCGCCAAGATTCTCCAAAAGGAAAACTCCTAAAGTGATAAGGCGACTTTGCGCATGTGGTGGACAGAAGCAATGAAGATGGGATGCACTTTCATCGTCAATTATATTTAGCTGATCATTTTTATCACAAATATTATATATATGAATATCATTATTATTACATAAAAAAAAATCTTTTAACTTTTCAAAAAATATTTGCTAACATTTCTAAGAAATATGCCATAATCTGTGCTCAAATAATATATGTTATAATGCGAATTGGTTTAATCCAGTTCGTATCAAACAGTGCCTTTATTTTCCAGTTGGATCGATAGTTACGATTCCCTGTTTCAAGATAACGTTTATTATGTTAAAGTATATATCGTTTTATTAGTGGGTTAATCATTGTTTTGAGTATAGAGAGTGTTGTGTCTTGATAATATATTTTTTTTAGTGAAGAGAGTCTATTGTTTTTGACTTATTTTAAAAGGTGTCAATTTACTGCCGATACGATATATATGATATCATGGATTGGCGTGATTAAGTGCTATTTTTTTATCAGATTTTCACTTTACTTAACTCAGAAATAATTTCTTATAACAAATATTTATTTGTCAATTCAAAAAAGGTATCAACACATCGGTTTGTAGTACTGCTGTTTGTTTTTTGCATAATCGTTGCTTTTCATATATTTGTTCTCAATGAATTATAATTTTTTGCTTTTGCACATCACATGTAAAAATGAACACTTTTGTGGATCATTATTTATATCTAAAACAAAATATATAAATTCAATTTCTATTTTAATAATATTATTCATCTTTATTCTTTAAGAATTAGTATAAGTTTAATATATGTTTTATAGCTAAGTTTAGTTCAATGGTATCAGAATATATCAGTTGGCTAAGTGGACCCCTATTTAAGGTATCAATATATTAATAATACTAATCTTCTTAATCAGGGTTCCGAACAACTATGCTTAACCCGTTTAAAAAATAAATATTTTTATTAAACTCCATCTATCTCATTTCCAGTTAAGGAAAGTGGTATTCCATTTTGTGTCAATATTAAAAATTTTGCCATCAATTTATTAATGACATTTGATCTGCAACATCAGCAGGAAAAAATCTAAAATAAATGTAATAAATGATTGTTTATAAGCCAAACAATAACAGCAACGGTACCAGTATAAAGAAGCAATTTTTTACGGTCGGCAAAATTGTTGCAATTTTTTGTCTGTTGCCGTTGCAAACTTTTACTTTTCATTCACAGAAAAT